CACTAAAAAATCGTAGCGTACCGCGGTCGGAACACTAAAAATCGTAGTGTTCCACTGGTCGGAACACTAAAAATCGTAGTGTTCCATTTGGCGGAACACTAAAAATCGTAGTGTTCCACTTGACGGAACACTTAAAATCGTAGTGTTCCATTTGTCGGAACACAAAAAGATGTATTTGTTATATTTTATTTTTTTATGAATAAAATTTATATTTTTATTGTTTTCCAATAGATTTAATAAATATAAAACTTTTTAATTTTTTTATATATTTGATTAAAAATTAGTAATATTTTATTAGCATCAACCGTTTAACATAATAAATATTTTATAACTAAAAAAGGTCGTCTAGTGAAAATTCAATCAGATGCCAACTCGCAACTGAAAATTCCATAATCGATTGTGCTGATCGGAAAAATGTATTGCATAAGACTACCTGTGCAAAAATCATAAAAAGGAAGAATATTCCAATATTGGATATGTATATGAAATTCGTTGTTGATATGGTACCTGTGTGTGGTTTTGTAATATTTATCCCAAAATCATAAAAATATGTTTTCCATATCCGTGTTATTTGTACACTTCTTTTAATGAATAAACAGGTAATTATTATGTTGATTGTGTGACAATCACCAAATTTTGAATATTTTTGCTAAAATTTTCTAAAAGTATGAATCATAGATGGATGCAGGTATAATTGTTTTAAGAAATAATGTTTTCGTACTAACATTTTACAAGGAGATCTCCCAATATTATGGGAAAAATCATGTTCGTTGTGTAAATCAATGAACATTTTATCCAAAGCTGAATAATTTTGTCACAAAAACTGGCCAAAATACCTATTTCTGATGGACATTTTCACTTTTGTAATTGCAAATAAAGTTATATTCAGTTTTATTTTTTTTATTATTTTATCTCATTTTACCTACAAAAAAAACAGACGTGTATGGTACACTACCAATACAGTTCAAGTAAGTGGAACGCTACGATTTTTATTGTTCCGACCAGTGGAACACTAAGATTTTTAGTGTTTCGACCAGCGGAACACTAACATTTTTAGTGTTCCGACCAGTGGAACCCAATGATTTTTAATGTACCGCAGTCGGTACACTACAATTTTTAGTGTACCACTGCCGGTACACTACGGTTTTTAGTGTACCGCTGTCGGTACACTACGATTTTTTAGTGTACCGCAGCAGGTACGCTAAGATTTTCGTTGTGCTCCGGAACAGTAACGCTAAAAATATTTTTAGTGTTTGTGTACCGGTACAGTACGTCATTTTAGTGTACCTATCCACCTTGGTACGGTACAGAACACTATGGAACGGTACCATAATGTTTATTTTCGAACGCTGATTTAAACAGACAAGTATGGGGAGCCAGTAATTATCTTTAAGAAAAAAAATTACATGTACCCTCTTTAATGAAAACCGTTCTAATTTACATTTTAAAGATATGACGTCATGGGTAAATGAAATTTGTGACAATTTATCGCATTTTTTCTTAAGGGAACCTCCCCCCCCCCCCCCCCCCCATTCTCGATTTTTTATTTTTAAGATTTTAAATGGGCTGGTAAATGAATACCAATGCTTGTTAAGGTTTGTAACTTGGAACATATGTATTTGAAGATTTAAAAAGGAAGAAAAATAATTTACCAAAATTTGTTGTTGTTGTTTTTTGGGTTCAAAGAAAAGTCCATATTTTCGATGGCGGGCATGATAACTCCTCACTGGAACATCGAAATCCGAAAATTCCAACTGTTTTAGAAAGAGGACATGTCTGGCTCTCGTATGAACTAGGATTATTGACTTCGCACAACAATTAACAAAATGGCGGAACTTTGAAAAAATTTTTATGGAAAATCGCCTATTTTTTACCACAAACTAAGTTAAAAAATAAGGAAGATCTTCACCGATTAGCTTTATCCTAGTTCATACGAGAGCTACACACTCCCAGAGAAACGTGTCAAAATTTGAAACCGATTGGATTATTATTTTTTGAGATATCGTACCCGCCATTCGTTTTGAGAAAAACGCGTTTAAAGTTTGAGAAGCTCTTTAGCCGTCACTTGATGCTAACACAATAAATCGGCTATATCTTTAAGAGTTCTTGAGATTTTCACTTGAAATTTTGTAGAGACATTCTAGAATTAGAGTAGATTCGAATTAAATCAAAAAAATTTTTGACACCGAGAATGGGGGGGTCCCCTTAAATTACTTTATAAATAGAATAAAAAATAAATTCCAGTTTCAAGTTTACAAAGAGAACGACATTTTGTTTTGTGCTCTATTAAATTTGATTCAATGTTTAACCAGTTTTGTGGGCTCAGGAACGGGTTTCGAGTAAAAAGTCGCGAAACTTGTAAAATTATTAGATTCTTTTAGGTTCTGGAGCGGAACTATAAATTATATTACCATTTTACAATGTTGGACATAATTTTTAAATAAGAGTGTCAAAGTTCTCATTACCGACTGTTCCAAAAAGCTATAGTCTGTTATCAAATTTCAATGGGTTGATTTAACAGTGTTATACGACTGATTTTGCAACGTAGAAAACTTCTCTATAAAAGTAGTGTTCACAAACCTTGCAAAAGCATTCGGAATTTTAGAACAACTCTAGTTTAGTAAAAACGAGCCGATATTATCGGCTTGCATTTTCGCCTTTGTCAATGAAAAACTGTAAAATGTACGGAATTTCCTCTTTGTTCACTTCCATTTTTAACACCCTGTAACTCACAACTTAATGCATGAATTTCTTTTTCCCAAACCTAATATTTTACCAACCACTCTTGTTAGGATTCAGTACTGTATTGAACATTTATATACAGTCGGGATAAACACATCCCATGGTAAGAACCTGTTAAACAAATTCTTATCAGTTTTTTAGGTCAGACCGGCAAGAAATTTTTCATCGGAAGGGCCAAATCAACCCAATACAAGTCAGTGGTCCTAGAAACATTATGTTAGGTACTTATTATAATCTCCCATATAGTGATCTAAAGTATAAATATAAATATGTAATACCACATGTATAATTATTTTCAAGTTTATGAATTTATACAATAATCTTTACCTTTTTTTTGTAAAATTATTATTTTATTATCACAACATCAAATGGCATGTCGCAATGTAACTTCAATTGCATTCTGATAATTATATTAACGATGATGATTAATGTCACTTGTTTGAGTTGGAGATAACGTATCCATGAACTATCAAAACAGTCGAACCTGTTGTTGAACACAATGTTGTTGGAAATGAAATACAAGTTAGATATGTTGCAAAAAGCTAGGTTAAGGGCATTGTTCAAAAATGAAACAATAATTAGCTGTACAGAACGGGGCATTCAACGTCGCGAATATTTTCAACATATTGGGACCATTAATAAAATTAAATTTTTATGAGAATAGAGATTGAGAATCCAAAGCAGATATCTATAGTCCTGGCAAAAAGTTAAAAAATTAATATTTTGTCATTTAAAATAGTCAGATTTGATTTCACAGTTATTTGTTTAATGCTTAAAAAATATAGCTTAATGCAAATATTGTATTGTTCACTATTTGGATTAAGAGAAGACTATATATTTAAATCAAGTCTCTCGAAAATATATATAAAAAATATATCTCATACTCGTGAGATATAGACCTCTAAAGTTCCAAAATTCGTATTCTCATAACTTTGTCACTTATGGACTGATGAAGGTGATATTGGCGGATATTAAAACATAAATTAATTTAAAATAATCGCGTAGTCAAGCTCTTTAGGCTATTCCGGATATTTAGGAAATAATTAAATTTAAAAAATGTGTTCCCATTTCGATCGCATATTCAAGCTATTTAGGCTATTCTGGCTATTTAGGAAATAATTAAATTTAAAAATTGTGTTCCCATATGAATTTCGGAGGTCCATATACCCCCCAACTTGCTCCATTTTCACCATATTCAGTTATTTTCAAGGATATATAATATTATTACATATTTTTGACTATTACTTACTAGTCCCGAGCAACCTACAGTCGAAGCCCGGTATAACGTATACTGAGTTTCGACTTTTTACACTGACTATGGCATATAACGAACGTTTTCCAAATTTATACTGAGTGGGTATAACGAACGGCGCAAAAAATAATGGGCTAGCCTTATAAAAAAATATCTAAACAAGCTATTATTACATTAATTAATATATTTAAAATTAAATTTTCTATTTTTAAATAAAATTGCACATAAAAAAACTTCGCGATATAATGAATTTTTCGCTATAACAAATGGGCCTGACAGTATATCATTAATTATACGGTGCTTTGACTGTATTAAACCATTTTGAAATTTGATATTGATCATAACCATGTTTAAGAATACCACTCCGACACGTTTGGAATTTTTACAGCATATAGTCTCATTTTCCTACTTATGACAGTCACATAAAATGTTCTGAAAATTGTCCGTAAAGTGTATTTAAGACAAAAATCAAATGGTTTCGCAAAGGTTGCCGACATTTACGTCACTGCTTCTGACGGACCATCTCTGCTCAGGTGTTGAAATAATTGTTCCCTTTCACACCCTTCATTCACATTATTTTCCAAACTTAATATTGAAACTTCTTTCACTTTACATGTAGTTATTACCATCTGGTAAGTAGAATAGTTCCCTTCTACAGCGAAGGTGGTTAATTAATGTATCATTATAATGTTCCACTGTTTGACTGGCTAACTGACTGTTCTAGTGGAAAGCCACACAAAATGTAAATAAAAACATGTGTGCGGCGGGTCTAACCCACACACACACACTCTCTCGCATACACAATCCAACCACATTCATTCGTTAATATGTATGTTTGTATGTATGACAAAAAAACACATATTGTACTGCCATAAAACAACAGCAGAAGAACAAAAAAAAAAAACAGATGTATTGATGATAGGAATAGTACTAAAAATGTATGTTTAGTTGTTGTTGTCGTGGTCGTAGTGAGCATGAATAAATAAAAATGGGTTATCGTAATTACCATCCGCTATGGTCCAGCGTATTTCACTGGTTATCGGATCAATCGCCGTCAATCCGCCCCCTAACGTTGAAAATACCATTAAGGTCTCCTCATCACGGGCCAGATCGGTACAGCCCTCCTAGAAAAAAAAAACAGAACAACAAAAAGTACAAAATTATTTACGTTCTTTTGTTAATACCGGTATTCCAGAAATTGTCAATAAAAGAAATTCTTCCATTGGCAGTTATCTTTTGATAAAGAAATGTGTGTGTAAGAAAAACAGAAAAGCATGAAATACAACAGACACTAAGAGATGTTCGTACGTACCTTCGCTTGACTCAGACCATTGCCACCATTCACACCATCATTATCATCATCATTTACAACAACACCACTATCTTTTTGCGAAGTTGTTGCTGTTGTTGTTGTTGCGGCCGCCGTGGCTGATGCAATAACAATTAACAAAACAAAACAGCGAAATAGAAGCAACGATTTGCGAAAAGATTTTTGTTTTTTATTGCCCGAAACCGAACCGCTGCCGCCGTTCTTCATTAGCACCGCCATTACCATGTTAAAGAGAATTGCGTAGAGTAGATTTGTTGTAAAATTATTTTGTTTTCGTTCATTCACATTAATAAGCCACTAGAATTTGTTGTTGTCGTTGTTTTTTCTATAGTATTCTTTTCATCATTTATTTTATTTATTTCTTTTTCTTGTTTATTCACATTTATTGTCATGTAAAATAGCACAGCACTTGTTGTTTGGTGTTAACAGAGAATTAATATTTATTTCTTTTTTTATAAATTAACTTCTTTTTTTGCACATTTTTTCTAGCTTTCCAGAAAGAAAATAATCATTTTCCAATTGTCAAAATAGAACTGTCGAAAAAAGCTGGTGTCGTTTGACACATCTGCATTGCGTTTCGACAAGCATATGCTTGACATTCACATGGAGTTGCCAGAATGTTATTTTTAATGAATGTCAACTTCGGTATGCGTGGTTTTATATTTACCGGGATCGGGATCGGTGTTCAGAGTTTCTCTCTCCTGAGAGAGTAATTAGAGTTGCGCTATTTTTAATTTTGTAACAAGCGTACTTTTTGTTCACAAAAGGTACGAATTGACATACACGTACGAAAACAAAAATTAGATTTTTTTATTATTCGTGAATACATTTACGCTTAAATCATAATATATATTATTTATGCAAATAACTGGTATAAATATTGGCCAATATTTCTCGATAATTTCATTTGAAGTAGAATTTTAGGTACCTTTTCGTACTTTTTTGTTCCTACCTGTGGTAATGTTTCCCAACACAATTCACAATTTACCACTGAGAGAGAGAGAAACTCTCAACACCGATCCCGATCCCGACAAATATAAAACCACGCTATCAAGGTATATTTTATAAGATAGCCACATCAGCACAGCCGATTTTAATAAAAAATTTCAAATATGAAGTAATTTTAAACCAAAGAAAAGAAAAACGCTTTGTAGTATGTTTACATTGTACCGGATTTCGTTAACCCAGTGGGTTTCAATTGTCAATTCCATTGTATACTTGTTATATAAATCCTCATGGAGTAGGTTAACCCTACAAAAAGTACTAATGTAAATGCCGTTTTAAATTAAGTGGATAATTCTGGATGAATTTCTGTAAAAAAATTTATGACAAGGTTTGTTTTTGCAAACTATTTTTGACAAATCATTGTACTACAACGCATGGTAATTAATATAAGGTAGAATATCTTTTGTCGACAATTAAAAATACACCTCAGAATAAATAGCAACAAATGCCATGAGTCGTTCTATTTACTTGACATATTTAAACTATTTAATTAAAAATCGGGAGAATTAATGGAATATCAGGCTTTTTCCCCAATATCGAATTGAAAATATATCATTGCTACAGATTCATCCCACAAATCTTAAATTTTAAATGCAAAATGCATATTTTTCAACAACTTATTTTAACCCTTTGTGGCCCAATGTTGCCCACAGGCAACAAAATATTTTAGAGCTTATATTTAATATGCTGCTAGTAGATATATATTCTTTGGCTTTCATATGTCAAGATCTGATTATGGACGACACATTTCGCAAGAAAAATCTAAAAAAATCTAATTTTTGGTGAAGTTATGAGCTTTTTAAAATAGAGAAGAGGGCAAATAATGTGTACAGTACTAATTTGTGTATACAGTCCAAATTATTTAAATCGCTTCGTATTCGAAATGTACGAATTCTGCCGTCAGAATTATTTTTCGATTCTTGTAAAACAGAATATAGAGAAGAATTAAAAAAATTTTTTCGTCGATTTTGCATTTGGTTTTCTTGATATTGGGCTTTTATTATTCAGAAAGAATGTACTGTATCTCCCGAGTGCATAGATGTAGCGATTTTGTGAACAGAAAATTGATCTATTATTACGCAAAAAAATTCGGGGCTCAAAGGGTTAAAATATTTTCTTTATATTTCGAAATATTACACATTTTTTTCCATGGTACAATTATAAAAGGTAACAGCAAATCCCAGCTGATTTGATTCCAACGTAATACTAGTGTTAATATGAATTTGACAAATTATGTTTTTAAAAATAACCCAACAGGAAAATTGGGAGCGCATACAATTTGAAATTGTTCTTTATTTATGTGCTCCCGTATTCAATTTACTCAATCTGCCTGCTGGGAAAGTTTGAGGAAGCAAATCTTTCTTGAAGGAATATCTCGCTATTCCCAGCATTGTCATATGTGTTACACATATATATGGCAATGGCTGAATTAAAGGAAAGATGTGGAAGCGATAGAAATATTAATTTGATAGATTTTCATTCATGTTTTTCAATTTTTTTTTTGAGGATTCGAAAATATTCCATTTTCAAAATAAAAATAATTTGATGATAACTTGTTTGTTTGTTTACATTTTTCTGTCAAATGAGTTGACACTAGTAGAACTTACAACAACAAATTTCCATGTGGTTGTTGTATCGTTTTTTGTACAACAACACTTGCTGTTACCTTTTATTATTATACCATGATTTTTTTCAAGCTTTTTGTGTATGGTTTAGACAAAACAGCTACTACAAGAAAAATTTTTAATTTGATATAGTTGTTTGTTATAATAAATTGCTGATGCGGCTACCTTCTTAGGTCTACCTTGGTTGGAATTATCATTCCATGGCCTATAAATAAGGTCACCAGCAGATTATCGATACCTCTCAAGTTTTCTGTCAAAATGCATTACTGTGAATTGACTTCCATTTTGAAAACGTAAACAAAGTCGAAATTTTTGACATTAGATTTGAGAAAAAACACCTGTTTTCCGATTTCGATTGCTATCCTTATTAATAGATCTTGTATCATTCTTTCGGGAAAAGAAAAAACTAGCGAACCTCAGGGTTCCAGCTGAGGTTCAATGTACAACTGCTACCGGTAGACCGATGCAAATTCGACTAAAAATTTGATTTTTTTGTTATTGGTCTGTTCCAGTACTTTTTCAATAGTAATGCTAGTAAAAGGGAAAATTTTTCAAATCGCTCTCAGAGTACAAAATAATTTGAAAAGTTCGGGAACGCAAATCTAGTAAATATGCCAAAATTAGATGGCAATACTTCAAAATCCTGTTAACATTTTTACTAGGCCAAATTTCTCAAGTAAAAATGTTTATAAAGAGAACGCCATTTTGTATTGTGCTCTCTTAAATTTGATTCAATATTTTACTAGTTTTGTGGTTGCAAAACTCAAAACTTGTAAAATGAGTAGATTCTTTTAGGTTCCGGAACGGACCTTTTATAAATGTGTTGTGTTCGTGTTCTTGACATTTCAATACAAAAAAGTCGATTAGTCGGAAGTCGATTTACTTATCCCTTTTTTATGTCTTTTTTGTGTCATGGCCTATAAATAAGGTCACCAAGATAGCAATCGAAATCGGAAAACAGCTGTTTTTTCTCAAGTCTAATGTCAAAAATTTCGACTTTGTTTACGTTTTCATAATGGAAGTCAATTCACAATAATGCATTTTGACAGCAAACTTGAGAGGTATCGATAATCAGCTGGTCTCCCTTGGTGACCTTATTTATAGGCCATGTTTTGTGTCTTTGCGCTCTTTCGTTCTCTTTGTGCATTTTCATTTTATTCATTTTAAGCCGGCATATTGCGAAGTGCATACCCGTTATTTTTTTCGCGAACGAAGAAGGGCGTATTTATTTTCTTATCTAATCGAAAAGAATATTTAAAGTACGAACTTTTCCGGTTGAGTGCATGTTGTATTCGCAACAACAAGAAATTTTAAAAATATGCATCTACTTCTGTTCTATTTTTTTTTCAGTTCTGCCTACCACAATGAAAAGTGCAAATCACCATTTATTGGTAGGTTTGTTGTTGTTGGCTGTGGGGTTATGCGATGCAATCGATCAGAAGCGCCCCCACTATCGTAAAAGTTTCATTAACCCTTATCCGAGATTTCGTGAATTTGTAGACGGGGGAAATCCCGGTGAACCTCTTTTCCTAACTCCCCTAATTAACAACGGATCTATACCGAAATCAGTTATACAGGAAAAAGCCAAAGTTGTGGGATCCCAATATCATGGCGTGGAAAGCTATGCTGGGTTCTTAACAGTGAATCCCAGTTTTAACTCGAACATGTTCTTCTGGTACTTCCCAGCTGAAAATGATTCTGCTTATGCTCCTGTAGTTTTGTGGCTTCAAGGTGGTCCCGGTGCCTCATCCTTATTCGGTCTGTTCACGGAGAATGGTCCATTCGAGTTTGATGAACATGGCAAATTGCAGAAACGGAACTACACCTGGAGTAGAACCCACAACTTGATATTTATTGATAATCCTGTGGGAACTGGTTTCTCATTTACCGACCGTGACGAGGGTTATGCTAAAAATGAGAAAGATGTCGGTCACAATCTACACGAAGCCATGCAACAATTGTATCAACTATTCGAGTGGAGTCAAGATTCCGGATTTTGGATAACAGGAGAATCGTATGCTGGAAAATACGTACCCGCATTGGCCTATCACATTCATAAGGTTCAAAACTCCATTGATACCCGTGTTCACATACCGCTGAAGGGTGTAGCAATTGGCAATGGTCTTTCCGATCCGATTCATCAACTCAAATATGGTGATTATTTGTATCAACTTGGCTTAATCGATGACCATGGATTGAAAGAATTCCATAATGCCGAGGCGGCTGGAGTTAAATGTATTGAAAAACACGATATGGATTGTGCTTTTGACATCTTTGATAATCTTCTGAACGGCGATATGGTCAATGGCTCGTTATTCAGCAATCTGACCGGCTTTAATTACTACTATAACTATTTGCATACAAAGGGTGATAATTACGGTCAAATCATGGGTGATTTT